TCTTTTCATGTTACATGCTCTTGGCCTAGTGTATGTACATGAACTGTGCGACCTGTCTCTGTGGATATTAGTTCCATGCTTAGTTTGGTTTTAAAAGTTCTACTTTGGAATGAGCTGGGTGTCGGAGGGTCTCATAGGATCATTACTCATATATATATATATATATATAAGTCTTCCCAATGCCTATAGGTGAAAAATGAATAGTGACTTTACCTACTCCCATCATAGTCCAAAGTTCATCGCGTAGTCACGATTGTCCAATAGTATTTTATTTTTCATATTTTTTTTTACAAATCGAAACAATTCGAAATTTGGAATGTTTATTCATCTTATAAAGCGCATCTAATAAAAATATATAAAAAAATTATTCATAACAAATGACCAAAATACCCTTTAAACTTTTCAATGGTATTTTGGTCCATTTTTTCATGTAAAATATTTTTTATAATATTTTTCGTAGATTCCCCCGTTTTTGATGAACAAACCCTCCAAATTTCAAGTCATTCCGATTTGTGAAAAAAAAAATGAAGAATGAAACACTATCGGACAATCGTGACTACGTGATGAACTTTGGACGGTGATGAGGGTAGGCAAAATCACTGTTCATTTTCGCCTATAGGTGTTGCGTAGTATCTTCATATATATATATATATATATATATATATATATATATTATTTCAAGGGTACGGTTTGTATTGAACTGAAGCTCTAAACAATCAAAGTAAAGTGCACCTTCAAATAGTGTTGAAAAATATGGTTTCAATATTGAAAATCTTTGTGATAGCCTTAAAATATATTTTTATATCTAATTATAAGAATTTTAAGCTTCAAAAATAGTATAGATCGAGTAGATCTACAAAAACTTAAAAATTGACGGCCCAAAAATGCACTACAAGATGAACTACATGCAGAACTTGAAATCCATTTTTTTCTCATGTCCATGCATCTTGAGATCGAAATGGTCAATTTGAGGATCTTTGAGCATCAAAACAACCTCTTCTAGTGAAATTTTTCAGGGGCACCTTAATTTGATTGTTTAGAGCCTCGCACTTATATAAACTTTTTATTTATTTAAATAATATAACTAAATATATAGTTATATTTAATTAAATATTATTGCAATATTATATATTAATCTTTATTTATATAATAACACCATTCGCTAAGAAGGAGATATCTACAAAATTTCCCCAGTTCTAGACTACCCTGCAAGTAATCTTGTAATAAATCCTCTTGGTTTTATGTTTGGATACGTTTTGTCCTATTTTTTCTTGTGTTTAGTTTATTTACTGTACCCTTGGCTCAAACCTTAAAGTTCCAAAAAGAAGCATTTTTTTTAGAAAAAGTATACAATGGGATCATATATCTTTGGTACAAGATGGTAAGAATTAATCCTGACCGTTAGATGTGAAATTAGATGGTCGCATTTATTTCATTGACCAAGCTCAAACTCCAAATGAAAAAATTTCAAACTTTGTGACATACCCAAGCATTTAGATTTCACATAGGATCGATGTAAGCAATTGTGCCCTCCTTGTATCAAAGGTAAATGGTCTCATTATATACAATCTTTGTATGGACTTTTCATAACCGAATCGATTCAAAACTTGATGGGTAACTCTGTTTTATAGTGTGTAAATAACTGTTTTGGATCTTCAAGCTCTAAATTGTTTTAGTTGAAAAAAAGATTCAGAACTTCAAATTCAAAACCAGTATATCACTGAGAAAAGAAAGACCCCAGTGGAGAACTTCAAACTCCATAAATCGAGTTACTTTGAGGAATATAAATAAAAAATTGGAGCATGAGCATAAAATATGATAAAACATAAGATATATTTCAAATCCCAAAAAATAAACAAAAACTAAGAGATATTTATAGGACAGATTCCCTAAGAACTGCCGTGCATGAAATTCATAAAAACATGAGGAATTGATCCTTAGATATTGTGATTTGTGATCAAGAAAAATTTGAGACATGGGAGCCTGAGGGGGAAGCACCAACAGTATATGAGTCTCGTCGAACTGGAATGAGTAGTGGCAGAAAAATAGGGCTGGCAATGGAACCGGACAAGACCCGGGATCCGCCGGGTATACCCGACATGGGTCCAGGTATGTGTCCAATATTTGGACCTGACGGGTTGGCTCTGGGTCCAAAACCTAAGTGGATGAAGAAAAATATGTAAAATTGATGTCGGATTAATGCGTTTGCCGGAAAATGTAGTTCTAATGTAGAAAAAGAGAAACTTACAATGAAATTTTATTTATTACCCTTGATAGCATAATTTTAAGGTCAGAAATAATGTACAACTGGCGTGTTAGTGAATACTTGAAATGGAGATCCGAAGTGTTACAATATAAATCATTTACAGCTTAAAATCCATTTTTTAAGTTCGATAAAATCATCTATGCGGAGATGGTCTATTTGCAAGCTTCCCAACATTAAAATTCATTTTCAGTGAGATTTGAGGTGTGGCTTTATAGAAGTGGGAAAGGTTTTTATACTTCCCCTATAGCATAGATCTATGCTTCCCTTACAATCTAGCCGTCCAATTTTGATCAAAAGAGCTACTCACCGTTTGATCTTAGATCGGATGTCTCAAAGTATTTTATTTTTAGTTTTTTTGTATACAAATTTTATGATTATGAAATTTGGTACGTGTCATCTTCTCATTGGGGGTGCACCTATAAAAAAATATTAAAAATAAATTTTTGATAAAATATAATTCAATTTAGTACGTGCCATCTTCTCATAGGTCATTTTATTTTATTGGAAATATTTTTTTATTATTTTTTGCTAGTGCGAGTTTAATAGAGGATTGGATGTCCAAAATTTGGATTCAAAATAACTTATAGAAAATAAATAAATAAATAAAATAATGTGAAGACGTGACATTGTGATTGGGGCAATCTTAGATCTCCATTCAAAATGGACGGTTGAATAAGAGGAAGTATATAAATTTTATGCTGTAGGAGAAACATAGAAAGCTTACCCTATAGAATTAGAACCTACAAAATGTCGCAATTCAATATTAAAAAATAAATAAAAAAATAAATTTAATACCTGAATCCATTAAGGGTTAGGTTTTTGCTCTAATGCTTCTGCTACTCCTTTGTATTGTACGCACCCAGAGAGACGCGAGTGACAACCCACCAAACATGAAATGTGCATTCACTATGGAATGGAAGAATTGTACGGTTTATGTGTTCTTGTGGGTGCAAAATATAGATTTGTTCTCTCGGGCAAACTTTTGATTAAGAGTGTTTAGATTATGCGGATGTGACCCGCTCAATTTGCCTTTTGGTTTGTATGAAAACTTCCATCATGAAACAATTTTCATATGAAACATACAATTACGCACTTTTTTATGAGAACTTCTCCCATAAGAAAAAGTTTTACCATGTTCATTGTATGAAAAGAAATCCCTACCCCGGAAGGTGGGGAGTACGTTAATGGGGATCCATTACTCAAGGGGACCAAAATAATATTTCATTTGAGTTTACCCAAAAACATAAATAAACACAAATAAAAAATACATACAAAATAGTAGAGCCCTAAGTCATCACTTTAAACTCGTTAAAAATGGCAAGTCAAGCATTAAAAAACCTCTACATCAATCATTTAGGTTTGAACATTATGGTTATGAAAAAAAAAAAAAAAATCAAATTTTAAGAATAATATATATTATAACAAATTTAACTATTTTACCTTAAAAATAAATATTTGTAGATCCACAACATTTATATCATTTTATGAGTTTCAAATTTTATTATGCGTGTCTTTTTGTTTTTTAAAGCCATCGTAGAGATTTCCATCGCCGAAAGTACTATCCGATTTGAGGTGAGGCTTTATTTTGTTTTGATAAAGCCGGGGCCTTATAGGAACCTCGTCAAAAAACCTACCCTCGCCCAGCTCTTGGCCTCCTCACAAAACCCTCGCCCCTCTCACAAACCTCTGCGTCCTTCGTTCTCACACGCCCTTGCCCCTCTCTCACGTCCTTGTCTTCTCACAGACCCACAAGCGGGGATCCATTTCGCAAGTCTTATATAAAATATACCTCATCTTCTTCAAGCGAGGATCCATTTGTAAGCTTTCATCTTCTTCCACAAGGTAAGGTTGTCTTTTATTTTTGGCTGGTGTTCTTTTATTTATTTTTGCTATTTTTTATTCATCATAATGTAAAGATCATCTTCACCAATCAAGGTAGGGTTTCCCTCATACGAACCCCCATACAATATACTTCATCTTCTTCAACAAGGGTATGGATTTTATTATCGTGATTTTCCTGTTTTTCCTTCTATATGGTGCTGTGTTTTTTAATTACCAATGAAAACAAATTTTTTTTCTATGATTTCCCCATGGAAATTTGTTGCTTTTTTATTTTTGACTTATTTTATTGAGTATAGAAGCACAGTTTGTTCTGTAGAAAAATGTGGGTATGGGTTTATTTTTTGTTGCATTATTATTTTTATTTCTTGCTGGTTTTTTGTTGTTGTATAAAAGCGATTTGTGATTTTTGCAGTGGGGCTTGTTCGTCGTCATGATATTGCACAATTATTGAATTTGTTTTTCAATTTTATCCTAAAACTAGAAAGATTCTACTCAGATGCTTCCTGAGTATTTTTTGGTATGCACAACCCAAATATTGAAATCAAATTACAGAATGCTATACTCTAGTTGGAAGTTTAAATATTGTGGGGCTCGTTAAAAATTACAGAATGCCATACTCTTTTCTGCTGATATACTTTTTTATTATGATCTCATAATAAGCAGTTTGATAGTTACACAGTTATGTATCTTTGTTGGATATTGATACCCTGTATTCATTTCTTTATTTGTCAATGCTTATTTGAAGGGCATAAACTTAGTTATTCAATGTTGGTTTTGTAGAAATCTATCGAAATTCTTGAAATAAATTTTTTTTTACACCAAATGTTGTACTAGACGTTTGAAGTTGTACGACAGTAAAAATGTTAATGCTGATTTTTATGTTATGAAAAGGAGAGTTTACTTCTTTATTTAATTTTATGCTGATTTTAATGTTATGAAAAGGAGAGTTTACTTCTTTATTTAATTTTATGCTGATTTTTATGTACATGTGTTTAGTCTTGACTAGATGCCTTGCTAGCTATTAGCATTATCAACAACACCCATGCAAGAGAATCTTGACTACATGCCTTGCTAGCTGCTAGCATTATATATGATTCCTTATGAGAGTTAAAATGAATTTTTTCAATGAAATGAAAAGTGAATTTATTTAAAAAACTCAAAAAAAATTTCAAGAGGAGAATTGCCCAAGTTAAATCTTCATTCTTTTTCCATAACCATCCAAAATATATATGGATATTTTATACCATCACCTTTATGTTTAATATCTATATAGAAAAACACTAATATTGAATCTATTTAAAAACTCTTGTAGATCCTAAAAGTAATGCGCCTAGCTTTACCTGTTTCCCTATTCTTAGCCTCCTACTAAAAACACCGAGGCCCATAGGAAAGCCAAAACCTTCTATTGGAACCCTAGTCAATATTTCTTTTTTAATCTCATGGTACATGAGGTCAAGGCAAAAAAAAAAGTCAAGAAAATTTGACCCCACATGCTTATAAAATATGGCAAAAGCAATGCAAGATAAGTACATGGATGGATTTTATAAGAAATGACTAAGGAATAGATTGAGGACGCTAAAGACTAACTTTCAACGTGTCAGATCCCTCCTCCAAAGCAAATCTAGCTTTTGTTGGAATGATGCCGAAAATTTGGTCACAACAGAGGAGGTTGTTTGGACCGAATGGCATGCAGTTAGTCTACAACACTAATCTTCTAGGCGAGTCAATTGTATTTATATTTATAAATGTTTAGGTCCATGACACATATTCTTATTGATAAATTTGTAGCGCCACAAATGGGTACCTAATCTTAATGGGTACCCAAGATTAGGTAAACCCTTGTGCGCAAATATGGTGACATGGACCTATGTTTTGGAGATTGGACTGTAAATGGATATAAAAGTTGCATTGGATACAATTCTCCTCCTCAGGAGAACACCATGCAAGTAGGAGAAAAATATATTCATAATTGAATCAATGCACACACGCCTCAACGAGACACGAGAGGAAGGCACATACGCCCCTTACCGTGCATGGCGGTTTGCATCAACGCTCACTGCGACAAGACTGGATGAGACACATGGTGGGGCATCCATGCACCGTGGTGCGATGTGTGCCCATGTGCCTCAGTGACGCACAGGAGCAAGGCACACATACCCCTTACCGTGCATGGTGGTGTGCGTCGAGGCCCACTACAACAAAGGCTAGATGAGACACATGGTAGGGTTCCCATGCAACGTGGTGGTAGGAGACCTTGCAGGGTCGGTGCACACGGGTGCATCATACGCAATACACATGAGCGGAAGCGGGGGCCATCGTTTAGAGTGAAACTCACCATGGGAAGGTGCCACGAATAGGCTTGGGCTGGGCCACTGTGTATTTACATTTATTTACAAGACAAATGTTGAGTGCGTAAGGGGACGCAACCATATAAGTGCATTCCCTGACCCAGCAATTACTTTTCCTTGTTGCTAAGCCGAATAGAACCCATACACACTCTCTTTCGCCCTAAACCTAACGGGAGCCCTAATCATGGCTCTGTAACAAGGAGGAGAAAAACCCTGAGCTACGATCTCTCTCTCTCTCTCTCTCTCTCTCTCTCTCTCTAAGAGCAAGAAGAAGAAGAAGAATAAAGTCTAGTTACTTCCAGGTACAATCTGTTTCTACTTCTCTCCCGCTTTCTCTCCATGTATGGATTTCTTTATCAAAAGAGAGGCGAGGCTAGTTTTTCCTGAGAGTTGGGTCCTTTCTAGTGGATGGAAAATTGTTATGAAGCTGAGAATCAGAGTTAAAATGGCTGGTTTAGGTTGGGTCTTTTCTTTTAAGTAGAGAGAGAGAGAGAGAGTATGCTAGGTGAATTTGGATTTTCTCTGTTGTTATTCGAGTTTCAGATTAGTTTAATCTTATGATCATGGAGTGGAGACCTAGGGTTTCGTGTGTTACTATTTAGGTCCTTTTTTTTTTTTTTGAAATATTGTGATCTTGCGAATAAAGGTTTTTTAGGTTGTTATTTTAAAACCTTCAGTATTTCTTTTTAGCATGTTAGCTGTGGCAAACTAATAGGTTTAGCCAAAAAGGGAAAAAGAAAAAGGCGAGTTGTCAAGGATCAATTTTTTCTTCCATCTCCATAGTATTATTTGTTGTATTTATCTCACAATGGATAATCATTATTCACGATTATTTCAATAATTCAATTTTTTATTGGTTATGGAGAAACCGTGAATCGTACACCTTCATGGAAAGTTCTTGAAATGAGGTATCATGTTTATTGCTAGAAATGGCATGAATCCTAAGAGCGTTAATTTTATGGTTTAAGTAGGCATACAAAGGTTTATGTTTTTGATGATGGCTGATGAATTCATTTACTTATTCTCATTTTCTTTTTTGTTTATACTCAAATATTATCATGCTGATCATCTATTTAAAAACCTTTTTTTTTTCTTGTTGTGATTAACCATCATCATCATCATTTTAGCCTTTTCCCAATTAATTGGGGTTGACTGCATGAATCATGGTTTCCATTCTCCTCTATTAAAGGACATATCCTGAGTGAGGCCATAAGTCATCATATCTTTTCGGACTACTTTCAACCATGTCCTTTTGGGCCTACCCCCTACCCTTTTCAGTCATTGCACTTGAACTAATTCGCACCTCCTAACAGGTGTTGTATTTGGTCGGCGCCACACATGGCCAGCCCACCTAAGTCTACTCTCTCTCATTTTATCGCCTATTGGTGCCATGTTTAAATTCTTTCGAATAGATTCATTGTGAATTATATCCCTTCTTGTCTTGCCGCTCATTCATATCAACATCCTCATCTCTGCGACACTCATTCTATGGGTATGTTGTTTTTTGTGTACCCAACATTCCACCTCATAGAACAAAGCTGGTCTCACCGCTGTCCTATAGAACTTGCCCTTCAACCTCATTGGTATGCGACGATCACATAAAATTCCAATTGTACATCTCCACTTTGCCCACCCAACTCTAATTCTGTGTGCGACATCTTCCTCGATCTCTCCATTTTTCGGGACTATTGACCCAAGATATCAAAAGTGCGGTTTTTTTTGTACTTCCTGGCCGTCAATCTTAACTACTTGCTCATCTCTACTCCTATTATTACTAAATTTGCACTCCATATACTTTGTCTTAGTCCGACTAATTTTAAACCTTTGTATTCTAGAGCATCCCTCCAACGTTCTAACTTTGTGTTGACGTCGTTTCGGGTCTCATCAATCAAAACTATTTCATTTGCGAACAACATGCACCATGGTACGTCAGCCTGTAGGTGCCTAGTTAAGTCGTCCATAACTAAGACAAAGAGGTACATGCTCAATGCTGACGCTTGATGTAGACATATTGTCATTAAAAACTCACCGTCTCTCCACTAGTTGTTCGTACACTAGTAACCGCTCCATCATATATATCTCTCACCAAATCGATGAAGTGTTTAGATACGCCTTTCTTTTCAACACCCGCCAAATCAAATCTCGAGGTACTGTATCATAAGTTTTCTCTAGATCAATAAAGACCATGTGGAGGTCTTTTCCCTTTGCCCTAAACTTCTCAGTCAGTTGCCAAAGTAGGAAAATATTCTTAGTTGTTGACCTTCCTGGCATAAAACCAAATTGGTTTTCAGATACACTCGTTTCATGCCTTAGTCGTTGCTCAATGACTCTTTCCCAGAGCTTCATAGTATGGCTCATAAACTTGATCCCTCGATAGTTTGCACAATTCTGTATGTCTCACTTGTTGTTGTAAATAGGTATCACAATACTTTTTCTCCATTCGTCTTGCGTTTTCATTGTTCTCAACACCTTGTTGAACAACTTTGTCCGCTAGTCAGTGTCAATTTCCCCCATGCACTTTCAAGCCTCTATCGGGATACCATCTGGTCTTAAAGCCTTTCCTATCTTCTTCATCTTTTTCAAAGCTTCTTTCATTTCCGACATCCTAATCCTATGAATGTATCTATGACCTTTGCTGACACTTGTACCAACAATCCCTTCTACCAATATGTTCTCGACATTGATTGACCATCATTGAAAAATTATGCTGATGATATTGACAGAGGTAATTGATTCTTCTGTTTTATTTTGGGTAGTCAATTATGGGATATGAGTGTGCAATATTGGGATGATGTGACGAGGGGTGCCCATCTCACTTGGGTAGGGGATTGGAACTAAAAGGAATTATGTGTTGGATGTTTTTGTGATTGTTACACGTGAAATAAGAGTATCTGGTCGAAGTTCTTTTTTTTTTTTCCATTTCCACCAATTTGAACTTGGGATAGGTGGGAATCCCAAAAAAAGTAGCTAACACAACACCACCAGGGGCTGGGAATAGAACATGGACTTAATTGAAATTGAGTTTTAGTAGTTGTAATGGTGCAAAAATTTGCATACTTTCAATTCTACCATATCGTATTTATACTTTGATAAAAGTGAATCGATGGGGGAAATAAGAATCCCCATCTCATTAATCATACAAAAATGTACTTACTCTCTATAGTACTATAACTATATTATATTTCTATTTTATTATTCAAATTCAAAAAAACATTCAAATGAAATATTTAAAATGAAACCCTTGTATCTTGTTTCAACCTCTTTTTTTTTCTTTCAATTTTATGTTTAGAACAAAAGAAACAAGTGCTTCTTCTAATATAAGATTCTAACATTAGGGCCCATTAGATTAGATAGAAGAATTCTTATTCTAGATATTAAAACATACAAGTCCATCTACTATATTATGAGTCGAAACATATTCATTGATCGAATCAATTTGTAGTCTCAAGTCTTGAGTTGAGTTAACTTGGTGGATGGACTAGTTGAGCTTGGAACCTTTCTTTTTGATAATTAAGTTTTGTTTACAAACCGACCTGGCAAATGATGCATCTGTTTCATCCTTCAGTAGCTGGCAAATGATCTATCTATTTCATCCCGCAGTAGAGATTGGCATGGATATTACATGCCTTCAACATTTTGTTGTTGGATTTTCAGTTTATGGAGTACTCGGAAATTGATAAAATTATGAATAAATTTTTCTTCTAATGTGATGCAAATAAAAAATTGGGGTTGTTTAATTTTTTATTTTATATTTTTTTAATTTTAGAAAAGGTGTTTTTTGAGATTTTAGTTTTCTTTAGGGGTATTATGGTCTTCTTTAGTTGTAGAGATTTAAAAGGTAAAATAGTAAATCCGCTATGGGAGTTGGTTAGGATATATTTTTATGAGGATATAGTTTCCATTTTGTATATAGTTTCCATTTTGTAGGGGTTGAGATGGGTGAGGGCTTCTTAAAATTATGGAGGACGTGGAAGTTAGAGAGAGACAAAAAGAGAGATAGGGGTCATGTGATGGAAAAGAAAAAGAAGATAGAGAGGAAATGTATAGGAGAGAAAAAATAGTGAAAGTAGGTAGAGAGATAGGGAGAAAATCTTTGGAAAGAGATAAATGTGTTTTTTATTATTTCAGTTGTATTTAAGATCCCCTCTTTGTAAAGGAAGAGAATTAGTGATTGATTAGAGAGTTGATATTGTGAAAAGATCTTTGAGGTGGATTCTCTTTCAGACCTTGATAGAGAGTATATTCTCTCACCTTTTATTATTATTTTTATTTAATTATTTATTCCCTCCATCTTCCCTGTGTCATATTGTTAGCGGTTGCATAGCTCACTTTCCTTCTTGAAGGGATCTTGGTGAATTTTGTCTCAATTAGATGTAAATATAACAAAATCAGCTTATTCTATTGGAAAGTTTTTATAGAAAATTTTCTTGAAGCACGCACTCTTTATAGTGTAAAGCCTAGAATTTTGTTACAGCCTAGTAATTGAATAGGCTAATGTTATTTTGAGTCTTTTCTTCACATTTAAGCACGTTTAGCATCGTGAGGCACCATTGGACACATGTCTACACTTATACGGGTGTATCCTTCCCATACACATACAAAAAGAGCTTGAGTGTGAAATGAAAATTTATGTAGATTCAGATGTAATTAATAATGATCGTGTTTAATTTTTAATCTAAGAGATTACTCTCAATTTTGCCTAGGAATTTAGTCTCGATCTCACCAGGATTGTATTGTCTTTGTGTATGTTCTCTCCATGCTGGTTTCCCTAAATGAGAATCACTTGAAGGAATTCTTCATAGTTTAGTTATATGTCACACTCTAGCTATTCATAGTTTCTATATGTAAGTTTCTCTTTGCAAGTTCGGTGGCTTACGAGTTTTGTCAGTATAGTTTCTCCATAATCTCAGTTGCTAGATTATTTATTTTCAAATTTTTACCAGTTCTTGATATCTAACTTGTCTGATTTGTCTACAATGAACGCCATTTAGAACTTCTTACTAACTAATTTATCTATCAGGCAAAAAATTCGGATACAATCTTAATTCATTGCATTAAAGCAGATATGAGTGCTCGGATATTTTTTGCCTGCTCAGCTGGTAGGTTCCATCTTGAGTTGTCGGCTGTCTTTTTGTTTTGTCTCTCTTTTTGCATTAACTGATAACAATGAATTAAGCCAAGTGCACACGAGCATGAGTGATGACTTCCTGTAAATGCATCCTGAAATTTTTCTTGAAGTAATTGAAGTTTGATGTCTCCATTCATTTACTTGATAGTTGACCATATACTCTTTGTGTATGTTTTCGTTTTCTTTTTATGTATCTGCATCTGTATTGTTTAGGAAAACATCTGTAAGTTATTTGCTATTGTATCCTTTGAGTGTCTGCCTGTGTACTTATTACATAGAAAGAGCTGTGACCTGTATGTTAGAGATGTTTGTAGAAAATTTTGTGTTGCTTGCATCTAGAATTAAGATATGGTTGAAAAAGGTTGCTAGCCATGACCATTTTAAATTTAGTTCTGATTCTGAGGGAACCATGAACTTATGGTACACAGAAAGCCAATTCTAGTCTCCATAGAAGGGTACACAGTACATGCAATCAATGACATGGGTCTTAAACTATCCTGAACATTTTGGTGCTCACACAATAATTTCCTTTCTACCATTGCCATCTTGTGAGAGTGCTTGGAGTGATGATGGAACTCAGAGATATGCAACAGTATGATGCCACATGGATCTTTGTAGACATGATTGCCAAGTGTATAGAGAATTCTGTGACATGTGAATCTTCTATATGATTTTATGGGGATTCCCTCGTCATTTCTGCAATATTTGGAGATATTATATGATCTATGGTTATTTTTTCAATGTTTCTGCAGTATTTGCAGCTACTAGAACCTAATTCTTAGCAATCCAAGTCCATAGAATAGTTACCAGGATCGCCCATCCCATGTTGTGATCCACTCTGGATCTAGATCCAGCTCCCAATGGAAGGGATCTCCAGGGGATTGCGAGTTTTGAACTTTGGAAGCTCAATTCCAATTCTTTGGGATCAAGATCCTTAACTGTCTAGGATTCCTATATCGTACCATCATATCTTTGGTTCATAGGTAAACTGGATCGAGGTTCTATTAAGTTTCCATTAATATGGATTTGCGAATCAAAAAGCAAATACATTAGTTATAATAAGAGTATTAACCCTTTTAAAATATTACATAATAAATTATTTGCACTTTTGTTCACACAAGTGATTTGCCTTGGTGTTTTTTTTTTTTTGATGAAGTTGACTTTTGTGGTTGACTATACTATCTACATGTTTGAAGTTCTTATCTTAATACTTTTTGTTCAATGAAGAAGGGCTAACCCTTGGTTTCAATTTTATTACATTTTTTTCCCGACGAAATCGGGACAGGCTTGTTTTTTCCCCAACAAAATCGAGACATGCTTGCTTTTACACTAGACTCATAACTACATTAAAAAAATTGCGAAAAATTAAATTATTATAGAATGATCGGATTTTTTAAATTTCTTATAAATTTCAATTCTTTAAACTACCATTAGATGACTAAAAAATTATTAAAATATTATAGGATGTTTGTATTTTTTAGATATTTTTAAAAAAATAAATAAAACTCTTATTGTTGGAATATTATTGAAACGATATGGGATCTATGGCCTCACTGAGGATATGACCCTTGATAGAGCAGAATGGGGGAGCAGGATTCGTGTAGCCAATTCCAAATAGTTGGAAAAAGGCTCTGACTCTAATGTTATTAGAAAATTATCGGTTGATTGATCATTATAATATTGTATCAATTGTAATATTTTTTGTTCAATGAAGAAGGGCCAACCCTTGGCTTAAATTTAATAACATTTTTGTTCCAATGAAATTGGGATAGGATTGCTTTTACACTAGACTCATAACTACACTCAAAGAAATGCGGAAAATTAGCTTGTATACAATGATTGGAGTTTAAAATTTCTTATAAATTCTATATCTTTAAACAATCACATGAGTACACAATTATTAAAATATTGTAGAACTATTGTATTTTTTTAAGTTTTTAATAGAACTCTTATTGTTAGAAAATTATTAGTTGATTGATCATAATAATATTGTATGGATTGTGTGTCCGACCTAGAAAATCCTAGTTATGTGTGCATGGGACCTGGATTCTTAACCAAATGGAGCTCGGACCCCCTTAGAATATATCATGCGATACTGCTATCAAGACTGGACTTGACTGGTATTTGGACGGTGAACCGGTGCCTTGGCTGGTCTGGTCTAAAATAAAAGCCAAGTTTGGTCAAAACCAGTGTTTGACTAGTTTTGGTTGATTAAACTGGTTGGTTTTGACCGGTTTGACTGGGCAAACAATTTGGGCAATTTTTTTTAATATATTTCATGCCTTTAAACTATTATTCATATATTTTTTTGTATTATTAAAATCCGGTCTAGCTAGTACAACCGAATTCTATCGGGACAGCCCGCTCACTGGTTTAGTGGTGGTCTGATTCTGATTACACTGGTATCGATTTCCCCAACATGTTGGGTCAAGAATAAAGGGGACCCCATCCATTGAGAGGATGTAGGTCAAGTGATCTGAAGAGGAAGGCATCACCCTATACCTTGAGGGATGTAGGATTTAGGGATCTTGACCCAAAATGTTGGGGATGTCGAGATAGAGTTCTCTGCAAGCTAACACAACATTCAATCAAGATGAATTTTTTTATTTAGTCATGGGAACACCTTGGGGACCTACAGTTTAAATTTCATGAAATCTGGACATGGATAAGGGGTCCAAATAATCAAACTCATTATACTTCAAATTTCAGGTTGCAGATTGCAATGTGAAGAACAGCTTGTGGCGAACTCTTTTAGACCACAATTTTGATATCTAGATAAGATGGAATTTTTTATGCAGATAGGGAAACGGCTTGGAAACTTATTATTAGAATTTCCCCGACATGTTAGGTAAAGATCCCTAAATTCAAAATCCCATCTCTCTCTAGGAAACTTGTGATTAGAATTTAATCATCTGTCTCTCATCTAGTCACCATTTCTCAAAAAACGATCTCTCTTATCTGTGTGTATTTGCATGGCCTGCTTGCTAATGTAATTGTGAAAAACAAGTCCCACCAAAAGAATATTTATGAATGTTCATTCTAAAAAAATATTTATGAATGCAAAAGAAATTTCCAAAAAGGAGTGCTCGAATGCAATGTTTGAAACAACTGTGAACTTACAAGCATGATTGTCTTAACGAGGGAATGAATCACAAGCAAAACTACTAGTGCCACACCACTCAAGGGTCAACTTGCTTCTTTTTTTTTTGAGACTAGTAGTATCTCAAATATGTCTTAGGCCCTTAGCCATATCCTCCCTCCAAAGGCCTGCCTTGTTCCACTGAAAACTTGTAATATCTCAGTAACCATTATGTATTATATCTCACTTATACCTCGAGAAGTGAAAACCGGTAATATTTCAAACCAGATTATGTGAAGGGAGGAGCTATTTAGGTCTTGATGAATTCACTTGGTTGATGAGGCTCCAAGGATCCGGTTGTTACGCTTTCCAAATTGTGTATATCTAGAAGGTCAATGTACATTGTATTCAAATATTGATTTTCTAATAATCGGAATCAGTGAATATTGTTTTGTAAGATGTTATTATGGGAAACTTAACATCATTTTCGTTGCATTGCAATCCATATAGCTGCTCGCTCAATATCATGGAGCTTTGGCACCCGTTCTAGTGGTTTATTGAGAGCTTCCGATGATATGCTGGCAGTGCCAAGTTTGAGTAATCTATTATCTCAGGTCCTCCTTCTCTCGTCCTTTCTTTTTTAATGATGTGAGAAATTACCAGAAATTGCTAATAAAGGACATGAATAATTCCAATCGCATTATAATCCTTGAGGAGATTAGTCTCAGGCTTTTAATGATTACATTAAGTAATTGGTTTTCCATGACATCAAAGATATGGCTAAGGAAACAGAAAGTTGTGGTTAAAAACTTGGTGGTATGCCAGTAATGGAAAACCAATTACATTAAGTAATTGGTTTTCCATGACATCAAGTTGTGGTTAAAACTTGTTGGTATGCTAGTTGCTGAAACACCATTCTTTTTAAAGAATTACCAGTATAATGTATGTTGCTACCACTTTCTGCATTCCTATTTTCCATTTGTTCAAATATGACAAGTATTTCAGTTATATGGTGCAGGTTGTGTCTGAAATATCTTCGGGAATTTCTTTGATTCCTGAAAGATAAAGCAGACTTATCATCTGGAAAATATAGAGAACTTTATAAAAAATTGTTTCCTCCTGAAAAATAAATTGCATATATTAATATGTTTTAATTTCAGTATTTTCTATATAACATGAGTTGCTTAGTCGTGTTCCCACATTCTCATGTATTATCTGTACCCGCTGAGCAAACAGCCAGGCAAATCCAACAAAGTGGATCAGCTCCCAAGCCAACTTGCTTGGGAGTTTGCATAAGGAAGTGCCAGTACTTCTGCTTCCCTTTCACCGTTAGAGCATAATGAAAAGGTTGCCTTGGTTTCTTTAGCTTCTCATTCTCTATTAAAACATGATGGAAAACTCAGCCTTTCTTTTGTTTGGTGGATAAAACAATTAGCCATTCCTGTGTCAGATTGTTTATACAAGTCCTCTGTGTCCAATGCAGCAAACCCGAACATTCATACAAATGAGAACAAATCTCAAAGTTGTGGATAACTCTGGTGCTAAGCGGGTTATGTGCATACAAGCTTTGAAAGGGAAGAAAGGAGCAAGGCTTGGAGATACCATAATTGCATCAGTGAAAGAAGCTCAGCCTCGAGGTAAAGTGAAGAAAGGGGAGGTTGTGTACTGTGTCGTTGTTCGAGCTGCCATGCCACGTGGGCGTTGTGATGGTAGTGAAATAAAGTTTGACGACAATGCTGTAGTTCTAGTCAACAAGCAAGGGGAGCCAATAGGCACCCGTGTCTTTGGTCCGGTGCCTCATGAGCTCAGGAAGAAAAAGCTTGTCAAGATATTGACCTTAGCTGAACATATTGCTTGAACTCTCTCTCTCTCTCATATGGAATTTCAAACCCAAAGATGCCATCAAGTTTAGGAACGAACCTATAGGTGCCCATTGAGCTTAGGAAGGCTGTTTTTGTTAATTGAATGATCCTAACTGAACAGAATTGTTTGGCTATGATCTTGTTTGTTTTTTTTTTTAAACCTAAAACAATCTTGCTGGGTTTCTTCCTGATTGACCATGAATATTCTCTTTCATTTGGTATGTAATATAAGAGCATGTTGTTGCTCCATTAACGCTTATGCAATGAAGCTCAGGTGGAATATGATCTCAAATTTTCCCTTTTCACTATAGTAGTTCTTTTGCACTGAATATCTTAGGTCAATAATCTCTCTCTCTCTCTCTCTCTCTCTCTCTCTCTCTCTCATGCATGTGTGCCCATGAGTCAGAACACAAACCTGTTGGTTTTCCCCCTTTCTGATTGAGCAAACTGTACTGGACTACATCTTGATCATATTATAAGATACTATTTGGCTGCCAAAACTAGCAGGGTTTAAGTTACATTGTCACCCAATGCACACACACTGTAAAGCACTTCTGACCAAGGAGAACTTCAAAAAACACCAAAGGTAATTCTTGAGCCTGAACCACCCATTTCAATTGATCTACGAAATCACATTGCCTTGCACCGTGTGAATCCTCAACATAACATAATGCGTTCACTGCATACAACCCCCACCCAAAAACCACCACCACCACCACCCCCTTCCCCTTCTCAAGGTCATCTTTAGTTCTTCTCAATCTGAGCTGATCTCTTCTTTCGAAATTTCAACTGGGACCCTAACGATCTCTTCTCAAGCATCTTCTCCACCTCTTCAATTGGCAGTCCCTTTGTCTCAGGCACACAAACTATCACAAAAATAAGTGCGATAACTGACATCACACCGAAAATCAGGAATGTAAATGAAGTTCCAATAGCCTCAGTTAGAGATAAGAAAGATTGTGCCACGATTAAGTTAGAGATCCAGTTCGCCATGGCTGCTATTCCACCACAAACCCCTCTAAATCTCAGAGGATAGATCTCAGAGTTCACGATCCACGGAACAGTGCCCATGCCTGGGGAGAAGAAGATAATGTAGAGAGCGAGACCGATCAGTGCGAGCCACCCGTATGGGCTGGGGCAACCCCTTGTGTACCATAGCCGGTGTTGGGAGTGGCATAGATTCCCTACAGTGTTGTTTGATAATAAGCATGCACCAGGGAAAAGCTGCGAAAAGAGGATTATTAGAAGAGGCAAGGAGACATCAAAAGATCAGTGTCTGTGTCTGCAGAGGGAAATCCACATACATTTATAAACAAAAAGAGAAATTTCAGTTTTGAAATTGAAAGAAAGAGGAAAACAATGAACTGTGGCTTCATTGTAGAGGCATAACTGTGACTTTGATCAAGGCCTTCGGCCTAGGCCACAAACTGTACGTGTCCTTATACACACAAAAATGGATGGAAGTAAACACATGTAAACCAAAATGAACATCGCTTAAGGACGCTCATGCGTGCACGCACACACTAAAGTATGTATTTGCAAACTTTGTGAATATACACACACCAATTATAGATACCTACAAACTCATATACACAGACTGGATCTGTTTGGAGCCTCTTGATGTGCGCATTCGTGTGTGTACATACACAAACGTACATACTCATACGACATGTATAGCATGTATCCTCGGAAGCATGATTATATGTGAAAACACAGACACATGTATAAATACGCACACCAACGAACCAGACACATTTGTTGACTTACAAGACATGGACACATAGATTGGACATCCATATCATTACATGTTTGCTATGTGGACACTTGAGTTCCCAAATTGGACAAAGCAAGCACGTGTGTCTTTTTAGTAAGACACACATGGACGCATATATTAATTGGGAAAAGGTTATGATGATGATGACATAGGTGCATGTATTCCATGAATTGGATATGCATGTCTTTAATTTGGACCTACATGTTTTATTTTTATATTCTATTATTAATTATATATTTGAATATAAATACGCACATATTTCAGAGTCTGGATGTGCTACGCTGGACTTGGCAAAATGTAGGTAGGTGCACCGGATTCTTCAAACAGAGTCAACACCGATTCTCGTATCCATGTCATTGTGACATAGGGGCGTGTGTGCACACACACAAATCTAGTCATATAATTTAAGGAGTGCAAGAAAAACAGCCCATTTTTCAAATTTAAGCAAAAAAGAGGAGACGAAGAAAATCACCTTATTTTGGCCTGAAGCACAAAAACCACAAGCTGGTGATGAAGCCTTCAAGCACTTCGTACAGTCCCACGAGCTTGTTGTCGCTGACTGATAATCAGGGCACACATATCCCGCAAACTTCATTGTTTCGGGACTGCTGACCTTTGGTGAATGTGTCGTGGTCTCATGAAAGACAGCAGATAAAAGTCCCAAAGACAGAATCACCCCTGCTAAACTGATAACCAGAAGCTTTTTCCTTCCTGTTCTATCTATGAAGTATATACTGACAATTGACCCAAATGCATTGAGGCCAGATGTGATGAGAGATAGTAAGAGAGCAGTCCGGTTTGATGCAAATCCAGCGAATTGGACTATGGTTGGACTATAGTACATCACTGTGTTAATTCCCACAAATTGCTGGAAAATTTGAAGCCCAACACCTGCAACCAGTCCTCTTCTCACTGTTTTGGTTTTGAAGAGCTTTAAGAAGTTGATCTTTTCAGAGGACCCCTCTTCTTTTATCTCTGTTTCGACAGATTCCTTCAGTGCTTCCACCTCGGCCTCTAACTCATGGGGTGCATATATCTTTTTCAGTATGTTAATGGCCTCGTCTTCCCGACCCTGCAAACCAGTGTGTGCATGAGAGAGAGAGAGAGAGAGAGAGAGAGAGAATGTGTGTTAAAGTACTAGAGAGCATGTGTGTGTTAAAAGTACTGCATAGAACGAACTTTGGAGCTGATAAAACACTGAATGCTTCATTAAAATGGAAGTTTCAGAACATTTTATTAGTGGCAAGAGAGGCAAGCTTTAGATGTTGGGCGGGTTAGACTTTATGGTGTTAATAGCTCAGGCTCAAATTCACCAGGGTCTTGAGCCCGAGTCAGAGGCCAACTCCGCCGAGTAGGACTGCCTAACTAGGCCCAGTCTCAAAAGAAAAATAACATAAAAACAAGGACTTGAGTCGAATTCCCGAATACACCACCCAGCCGAGGCCGAGCCCGAGTCACTGTTTTTCAAAACACTGGTTAGAAATGCATGCTTAGATGCGCATACATGCATGCTTAGATGTATGCACATAAACATTGTATAAGCAAAGAAACATCAGATCAGACAAATTCATTGATGTGCAAGGCACATGCAAACACATACATGGCTGGAGAAAAATACCAATCAACCTAACCACATGCATGTGCACATATACGTACATGCTGTCATTTGTCATAGTGACAGATCATGCATATCTGCATCATTTAAAGTGTCACATGCAATTGAGAAAAAATAAAAGAAATTAACTCCACTAATCTGTTTATATTCGTAAGATAGAACATGCATTTATATTATAAACATAGATAAATGTATACAAGAAGTGACATGAAAATAGCTAAATTCGAAGGCGAAAAGGGATCATCACCTTTCTGTACAACCATCGAGGAGATTCGGGGAGAAACAACATCAACCCAAATTGAACAAGTGGCGGAATACCTGCAACTCCAAGCATCCATCTCCACGTTCCATGTGTCTAAAACAAATTCAAACCATCATGTATACATGGATACATGAATACATAGACACGTACATGTATCTAAATGAAGACATATAGATCATTCTACCTTCTCTGATATAAAAAGGAATGGCAATGGAGATACATTCATTACACGGCCACATATGTGATTCAAACTTCCCACATACACATGAATACATGCATTCTTTCATTCGTTGGGTCATCACTGTCTAATGAATTGATGGATGACTGAGAGTGTACGGGACCGATCATAACAAAGCATGGCTTCTCTGGCAATCAAACTCCATCATGTCAGTTGAAGGTGATGACCCAATGGAACTATGGTTTTTTCCCATAGTCTATTGGACTATGGCATACCGTCCCATTTAATTCACACATGCCCATCTAACATGCATGCACATGTATCCTATGAGCATAGACACATAGACATACATATAGATCCATGTATAGAAGCATGCACATGCATAAGCAAATAAAGAGTACACACACATGTACTTAGCATGAGATACATAGGCAAACACGCATGCATGAGAGGCATGCATGGACTGCACATATAAAAACTTATATGCATAGATGTATAGATATGGATATATTCATGGACCAATACATGAACACAAGCATATTTACACGGATGGATACATACGTGCATACATACCTACATACATACATGGACGTACCTTAGTGAAGGCAAGATTGATGAGGTATGATAAGAATTGGCCTCCAGTTATGAGGAATCCATTGGTGCTTACAAGAGCCCCCCTAATTTTGGCCGGAGAAGCCTCGGATATATAAAGCGGCGCAGTCATGGATGCCATGCCCACACCGAGGCCCACAAAAATGCGGCCCACGATAAGAAGTGCAGGGCCTGGTGCAGAGGCCATGATCACAGCCCCCACAAAGAAGAGGAAATCAGCGGTCAAGATTGAAGTCCTACGGCCGAAGCGGTCGTTCATCCACCCTCCTATCGCTGCCCCTATGATTGCCCCCGCCACCGCCATGCTCACTATAGCCCCCTATTGTTGTTGCTCACAAATATGTAAATTAGTTATTCAAGAATGAGAATAATATTAATGATCACAATAATAATAATAAAGGCAACAACAACGATAACAACAACAATTAGTAATAGTAATTATTAATAATAATTCAATTTTTTTAGATATCTGAACCAAATTTAATAGTAATCCTTTGAGATCAGACACACATGGGTGTGGGAGGGTCTCATAGGATCATTACTCTAATAATAAATATGATGAAAATAGCAACAATGACAACAACAACATGATAAATAATATTAGGATTTGTATAAAATGTTAGTACTTAGGTTTCCTACAGTTCTCTTGCACCTCCCCAGCCGTCCATTGTTAACCAATGACGGCTAAGGTGAGTCATTCTCTACTCTAGTCTGTAAAAAATTTTCGTTGTGCTTTGAGCAAAGGAAAACACATTCCAACCGGTCATTATTGACATCAGAGGGCTAAGGAGATCCTAGCACATTATAGCAAACCCAAGATGCTTGCATTGAATACTTTACCATGATTGTAATTGTATTACCACTCAGTTATAATTAGTTGTAGCACAAGTAGCAGAAATAGTAATAGATGCTAGAGGGTGCTACTATCTTATGACCCTAGTAATCCTAAGTGTCACAATGTCCAATCAATATGTGGGTGAATGGTGATGGAAAAATAGGGGGATTTAACACCCTGGGTCCCACTATCTGCATCACCATTCACTCATTAATTGGATGGGGATAACATTTATGACCATAGATGTGGCCATCTAGGTCATTGTATACTTTCTCAAAGTGTAATGTAGTTTGTACATAAACTACGAAGAGAAAAACTCAAAAACTAAGCCTTTGTAATAGAAAAATGTGGAATGTTCAGTAGGGTATAAAGCAGTGAAGTTCTATAGTAAGTTAGGTATGCTCTCCACTGTCAAATTTTGATCTCCTGACACTATTTTATTTTTATTTATTTTTATAAGTTATTAAGGCATTAGATTTGTACCTACTTTTGATAAAGTATACCTAATAAAATTATGAAAAAATAATTTTTATAAACTAAAATTATCAAAAATATCTTTGTAAATTTTGAGAATATTTTGTTGATTTTTTTTTTAATTAAGTACACCCTATCAAATTGGATAAACCAGAAATTTCATGTGAAAAATAGTTTATAAAGCAACATATGATATAAATTATGAGCCGTCTGATCTTGACCTAATTGATGGCACCATTAGGTTGCAACCTACCTGTATCTTTTTCTTTCAACATGAATCTTTCCCTGTGGGTGAGTGACCTCCCCCACCGATGATTGGATCTGTGACCGGATGATCCCCACCATCCAATGTGCACATTGCATATCGGATGGGAGATCAGGCTAGCTACCGATCCAATGATAGGCGTCAGCCTTCCCTCGCATTTGGTGCCCAAATAAAGGCACTACCATAAAAAATTAATGAGTACATGTGTGTAGCATACTCTAGTAGGATCACACTGCACACTTACTCCCTCGAGCAAAGAACTATTTAGCAGGATTTTATCAATCTCAAATTTTGGTATTCACTAAAGTATCATCAATTGAGTATTAAAAAAAAAAGGTTTTCTGTTCTTGTAATCGTCTTAATGGTTGGTTGCTCTCTACTCAATTAAGATGCTATTTTCTCCGGCACATATAGTGTTAATAATTCCTTTTTTTTGTATTTTTTATTTTTATAAGTCGGTACTTATATAAAAGGAGGTTACATCCCCAAATTTCCAAGTCCTAATAATATACTCCTACATAGGATTCGACCAGAGGGAATAAATAGATGGATATGCTCACGTGGGAACATACAAGCCTTTCTTTTGGTGGAACCCATATTATTGAAAGGAAAATATGATGAGACCATTTTTATGTTTGGTAAGTGGAGTTCACAATGGGGCAGTAATTTTATGTGATCGTCGCATAATAATGAAGATGAAAGACAAGTTTTATATAACAGTTGTGAGGGTAGCTTTGATTTATGAGACTGAATATTGGGTAGACAAAAAACAATATATTTCTAGAGTAAGTGTAGCGGAGATGAGGATTTTGATTTGGATGAATGACAAAATAAGAAGGGATAAAATTCGAAATGAATTCAATTGAAAAAATTTAGATGTAGCACCAATAGGCGATAAGATAATGAGAGAGAGTAAACTTAATTGGGCTAGGCATATGTGGTGCTCACCAATTACAATACATGTTAAGAGGTATGAGCTAGTTCAAATGGAAGTTAAAGGACAAAAGGTAAGTCCAAAAGATCGTGGTTGAAAGTAGTTTAGAAAATATGCGGACTTCTAGCGTCTGTAGGGGTATAGCCTTTAATAGAGCATAATGATAGACCAATATTTGTAGCATAATCTAATTAATTGGAAAAGACTATGATGATGATGAGTTTAACATAAAAGTCACAATTAATCTTGGCCATTAGATGTGAAGTTGGGCAGTTGCATCTATTCCATTGACTAAGCTCTAAATTGAAAAATCTTTTTCTTAAGAAAAAAATTCATAACATATTCAAACAATTACATTTCACACTAGATATTATTAGCAGTTGAGACCTCCATTAGTATGGCCTTTATCTAGCGTTGTGGTGGTAGCTTCCCACACCCTAGTCAGTGCTTTTCATTCTTAATTATATCACTCCGGTAAAAAATAACTAACTCCTAAACTATTTGAAAAAATAATAGGCGAGAGAGAGAGAGATTTCTTTAGTAGAGAGAGAGAGCAATTTTTCTTAGTTTTATTTTCTTTTTAGAGAGAGAGAGAGAGCAACTTTTATGAGTTTTATTTTCTTTTTAATCTCAACTCCCTACCTACCATTAAGAGAGAGAGAGCCGTTTTCTCGAAAGGACACAGTTTCTATGAGTCTATGTAGAAATGAGACCGCGACACCTCAAACTTGTCTATGAGAGAGAGACGTCAGTTGGCCAAATACTTGAAGCTTCAAGAGAGATTTCTTCATAGGATCAAACACATGAATTTTCACCATTGATGTGTGTACTAGAGAGAGAGCAACCACCTAAAGCTTCTCGTTCTTGTTTGTTAGAGAGAGAGAGAGACTGTGTATTTTAGAGAGTTTTCAGTATACCAAACACCTGTAGCTTCAAGAAAGAGAGAGAGAGAGACTGTGTTTTAGAAGAGTTTTCATTAGACCAAACACCTGAAGCTTCAAGAGAGAGAGAGAGAGACTGTGTGTTTTAGAGAGAGAGAGAGAGCAACGACCTAAAGCTGCTCATTGATGTGTTTGTTTGTTAGAGAGAGAGGGAGGGAGGAGAGTAGTAACCTGCAAAACCGTCTCCTTGTCAACAGACTTAAAATCATCCCGAATATACAAGAGTGCACCTGAAATAACACCTGCAAAACACCAAAAAGAAAAACACTCAATCTCCATCTTAAAAAAAGACTGAAAACTCTCTCTCTCTCTACTAAAAAAAGATCCCCATTTTTTCAAGCAACCCTGTAATTTTAAAAAACCAGCCCAATTTCAACCAATTACGCATTCATATCAATGATACAGCTGACCCAACCTCCTCTATCAATCCCCAAAACCAGAGTTTCATCAAAAGGAATATTTCTAATCCTGATTTCCATTTCTCTTTCTTCCCCTTTCATTTTAACTCCAAATCTTTCAAATTTAGAGAAGAAGTACCAGACCCATAACCAGATTTCACTGCAAATATAAATGAAGCTCTCTCTCTCTGACATTCTTTTTGAGAGTCAAGATTTATCAGTCCCATAACCAGAACTTCATAAGAACTAAGAAGCATAGATAAACTTTAACCCCAACTTCAACGTTCTCTCTCTCTAAGTCGTTATCTTGAATTGAATTTCTTAGAAATCGATCAGGACATACCTGTGTCATAGCCAAAGAGCAAGCCACCAATGCCTGCTGAAAAAGCAAGGCGAAGAACATAGGGATTCCTCCAAGCTAGAGAGAAGCAATCTCTGAAAGCTGATGCATCGGTTCCCGGATGAATCCCACCTTCCATGGCCTCTAAACTCAAACTTCAAAGAATGAGAATAAAGGGAACTCAAAAATAAAGAAACTAGCAGCCTTTTGGAGAGTACCCATAGAACAAAATAAGCTGGAGATGAGTGAGAAACAGAGTAAATGATACTGAGCACTCTCTCTCTCTCTCTCTCTCTCTCTAACTCAATAATCAAAGCATAAGAACCGATAAAAAAATTGAGGATTGAAAAAAAAAAAGGTACAAAAAAGGGTTTTCTCGAATTGCCCATTGAAGACAGTAAGCTGGAAACAAGAGAAACAGAGTAAATGCTCTCTCTTTCTAACCCAATAATAAAAATAATAAAAATCGATGCAAACATCGAAATTTAGGAAAAGAGGGTTTTTGGGGAGAATCCAGTAAACAGCATGAGTTGGAGATGAGAGAAACAAAGAACATATACTTGTACCTACTTTCTCTCTCTAAAAAAAATGAAACGAAAAGGAGAAAACAGGGATCCTGAGTAGAACCCATTGGAGACAACAAGCTTGAGATGACAGAGAAACAGAATACATGTTTGTAAGAGCTTCCCACTTCAAAATCTTCACTTCTCTCTTCCTCTTTCTCTCTCTAGAAATGCTTCTGTTGGGTGCTTTCCATTCGAGACTCACGCGTCTCACTCTTCGCTCTCCATTTGAACTCCACCATTCCAGAGTTCTCACTCTTACTGTCTCTCTCTACAGCTCCAGTTTCTCTTACTTTCTCTCTCTACAAAGGCGTCTGGTCTTTGGTTTATATGAAGAATTTCCAAGAGGAAGAGCGACAGTTTCGTCCTTTTGCTCGAGACCTTTTCATATACAAATAATGCTGCACCTCCCCCATGAGATACTGATTGAAAGAAAAAATAGAGAGAGAAGATTGCTTCCTAAAGGCAAAAGGCCAACTTCTAGAGAGAGAAGAAAAATGAAGAGAGGGAGTTGTTTCCAAGAGGTAGAAAGCCAACTTTTAGATAGAGAAACAAGGGAAAATGGAGAGAGAAAATTTATGTAAACAGGAAAGAGTTAAAATAGAGAAAAACTTGGATTGAGATTTTTTTGGGGTGTGCTACGGATGCATCCGTAGCTGTAGAGATAAGGTGCATCTTTCAATTTTATCATGGTATATAATTTCGATGTAAAACGTTATTAGTATTATTTCAAAATCTATTTTTATATTTAATTATAAAAATTTCAATTTTAAAAATGATTAAAATCAAATAGATCTATAAACATATGACCATCTTGAAAATAGAAGAGGTAGATAATATGTTGTAAAATAAGTTAATTTTTAGACTTAAAAACTTTTATTGTTCCTGACCATACATCGTTTCATAAAAAAAGGTTTTTCAACATTAAAACTATTTTTTTTTTTTTTTTTTTTATTGGATTTTGGAGGTGTACCCATAGTTCTACATTATAAGGCTGCATCCTCATACATGCTTTTTCCTTTGATGGGTAAGTTGTTTGTTGTGGAATCCGGGTACAATATTTTTTCTGGATGTGAATCATTTGAAGATCCCAAAATTTGATACAAGTTTCTTGTCCTCTTTTTGAGGTGGGAAAAATGCATAATCTCTCTCTCTCTCTCTTCTTTATCTCTCTATTATATGGAGTCTTAT